CATTCTATTCTTTAATATAATCATTCACTTCACATCAGGAAGGACAGGCAGGGAAAAAGGGAGGAGGTGTTACTGTATATATTAAAAATGTATACACTTGGACTGAGGTTGAGATGGAAATAGGAGACAGTTGTCGAAAGTCTCTGGGTAAGGATAAAAGAGGTAAAAACAAGAGTCATTTCATGGTAGGGGTCTACTACAGACCACCTAACCATGAAGAAGAATAGGTGGATGAGGCTTTTATTAAACAACTAACAAAATCATCCAAAGCACAGGACTTGGTGGTGATAGGGGACTTCAACTACTCAGACATCTGTTGGAAAAATAACACAACAGGGCACACAGGGCACAGATTATCCAACAAGTTCTTGGACTGCATTGGAGACAATTTTTTTTTATTTCAGATGTGGAGAAAGCCACTAGGGGAGAGGCTGTTTTAGATTTGATTTTGACAAATGGAGAGGAACTGGTTGAGAATTTGAAAGTGGAAGGCAGCTTGGGTGGAAGTGATCATGAAATGATAGAGTTCATAATTCTAAGGAATGGTAGGAGGGAGAAGAACAAAATAAAGACCATGGATTTCAAGAAGGCAGACTTTAGCAAACTCAGGGAGTTGGTAGGTAAGATCCCATGGGAAGCCAGTCTAAGAGGAAAAACAAGTGAAGACAATTAGCAATTTTTCAAAGAGACATTATTAAGGGCACAAGAGCAAACTATACCACTGCATAGGAAAGATAAGATGTCTGGCAAGAGACCACCCTGGCCTAAACAGGAGATCTTCAATGATTTAAAAATAAAAAAAAGTCCTACAAAAAGTGGAAACTAGGGTAAATTACAAAGGATGAATATAAACAAACAAATAACACAAGAATGAAGGGACAAAATTAGAAAGGCCAAAGCACAAAACGAGATCAAAGTAGCTAGAGACATCAAGGATAACAAGAAAACATTCCACAAATACATTAGAAGCAAGAGGAAGACCAAGAACAGGGTAGGCCAATTACTCAATTGGGGGGAGGGGAACAATTACAGAAAATGTGAAAATGGCAGAAGTGCTTAATGACTTCTTTGTTTCGGTTTTCACCAAGAAGGTTGGTGGTGACTGGACGTCTAACATAGTGAATGCCAGTGAAAATGAGGTAGGATCAGAAGCAAAATAGGGAAAGAACAAGTTAAAAATTACTTAGACAAATTAGATGTCTTCAAGTCATTAGGACCTGATGAAATGCATCCTAGAATACTCAAGGAGCTGACTGAAGAGATATCTGAGCCATTAGCAATTATCTCTAAAAAGTCATGGAAGACAGGAGAGATTCCAGAAGACTGGAAAAGGGGAAATATAGTGCCAATCTGGAAAAAAGGAAATAAGGACAACCTGGGGAATTACAGACCAGTCAGCTTAACTTCTGTACCAGTTGAGATAATGGAGCAAATAATTAAGCAATCAGTTTGCAAACATCTAGAAGATAGTAAGGTGGTAAGTAACAGTCAGCATGGATTTGTCAAAAACAAATCCCGTCAAACCAACCTGATAGCTTTCTTTGACAGAGTAACAAGCCTTGCGACTAGGGGGGAAGTGGTCGATGTGGTATATCTTGACTTTAGTAAAGCTTTTGATACCATCTCCCATGACCTTCTCATAAACAAACTAGGGAAATGAAACCTAGCTGGAGCTACTATAAGGCGAGTGCAAACTGGTTAGAAAGCCATTCCCAGAGAGTAGTTATCAGTGGTTCACAGTCATGCTGGAAGGGCATAACGAGTGGTGTCCCGCAGGAATCAGTTCTGGGTCCAGTTCTGTTCAATATCTTCATCGATGATTTAGATAATGGCATAGAGAGTACACTTATAAAGTTTGCGGATGATACCAAGCTGGGAGGGGTTGCAAATGCTTGGGAGGATAGGATTAAAATTCAATATGATCCGGACAAACTGGAGAAATGGTCTGAAGTAAATAGGATGAAATTCAATAATAACAAATGCAAAGTACTCCATTTAGGAAGGAACGATCAGTTGTACCCATAGAAAATGGGAAATGACTGCCTAGGAAGAAGTACAGAGGAAAGGAATCTGGGGGTCATTGTGGATCACAAGCTAAATATGAGTCAACAGTGTAACACCATTCCAAAAAAAGCAAACATCATTCTGGGATGTATTAGCAGGAGTGTTGTAAGCAAGACAAAGGAAGTAATTCTTCCACTCTACTCCACGCT